CAAGCCCAAGGCAAAAGATCACTCAATAAACAGTTGGCTAAGGCGGACAAGGCTTCTTTCAACAGAAAGGGGACATGTAAATTGACAAATAAAAGTTTGGTATGACTTACGAAAAAATAAATAAGGTACATATGTGTCATAGTAAGCCAAGTTTGTCGTTTTTTGCTCCTTTTCTCGTTTGCTCGTTTGGTAGGACTCATCAATAATGATCATTCTTTGACTTTTTCACTTTTGTACTTCTTAAACGAATTTTTTGTGGACGGTGGGGTAGCAGGGCTTTTTTATGAACAGTTTTGGGGGAGAACCTTTTCATAGTTCGGCTTTTGAAGAGGGTCGTTTCATGGACTTCGGCCTCTGGCAGGAGGGAGGGGGGGGGGTCGTATTTCCAAATTTTCCTCGACGCCTCGCTTGACCCTGACAGGACGTCATACATCGTGCAGTACGCTTTCAATCTGGAGCCAAAAGGGGGTGGCCACGCAGAACGATGGGTATCGGTGGGGCAGGACAAGAGGGGTGTAACTAAGCAGGGAGAAGTGACTGTGGAATGTAGTGGTGTTCTTGATTACAGCAAGTCTCAGAGACAACACTAGGGTGACTTCACGCGAGAAGAATCACCGGGAAACTGGAAGAAGGAAGATGGGTCACGAGTGTGGTCCAGGAGTTTGGTTTGCTCACAGCATTGCTTTGCGCATGGAGAGTAATATTAACCAGCCACTGCTCTCCGTACATGAGGGCGTGCTGGATCATGAACAGCGGCGACACCACATGATTGCAACATATCCTCCAAATGCAAAAACATTTCTCAGGACTATAAAGCATGTAATTCCAGAGTACAAACAGTGCACGGTGATCGCATAGGGAAGGTATTTCTATCCCACCAACACTACCTGATGTTGCTTTGAAACGTTTGCCAGAGACATTGGGAATGTAATACCAATTCGAGGGAGCGCGTTCTATTCTCATTAGAAGAAAATTAAGTGTGAGTAGTGATTCTGGACTACCTGCATATGGGAGAAATAGGAACGTGTAATGCTACCCAGGACCATCGTTTAACATGATTGTTTTGGTAGTCCATGCGACATGATGTGGGGAGGCATAAAGTTGTCGGGGCGTACTGATCCCAACTCGTGATCGCGTTACACTTTCTGATCAACGTTATTGTGACGCTGTACTCCTTCTTTATGTGCATCTTTTCAAGGGTGCATTTGATCCCAGCTCCATTAGTGTAAAGGACAATGTGCTAACGCATCGAGCAGCCTAGGTGGAAAACTCTAGGACCGTTGGATCTCCGACGATTGGATGACCCCTCCACTTCCCTCATTTGAATCCAGTAAAGCACGTGAGACATGCATTCAGGAGAGCGATCGTGGCGCACATCCGAGCGCTGTCCAGCGCTCGTAAGTCGCTGTGATCGAGAAATTTAACGCTTCTCCCTAAGTCTTACCCATTCTTGTGGCCGATATGGGAGCACGTAGCAGAGCATGCTCTGCC